GGAGGGTGGAAGAGACAGAGAGATAAGGAAGAAATATCGATGTGAGATCCACTGGTTGCCTCCTGCATGCACTGGGGGCGGAGAGCCCACAACCCAGGTACATGACCTTGACGGAATTGAACCTGCGGCCTTTCGGTGTTGCTCTAACCACTGAACAACATTGGTCAGGGCTGAAGTCTTTAAAAAATGTTTTATATATAAGTGTTTCTGAACTCAAGGGTTTTGCTGCTGGGGTGCTCTATTCAAGAAGGAGAAGTGGTTGGAGCAAGGTAGCTTCATTTTCTTGCAGCAAGTGAAGGAGATGGGAATCATATTCAAAGGGAGGCTTAGCTATTGCTTATGTACGCTGTTTGGTTAATTACATGTTGATTTCTCCTTGGCAGTTGGCTATACTTATGAGGTTTATCCTGTTTACAGCTGCAGCTGCAAAATTCTGAGCTGCATTTTAACATTTAGCAAGAAATAACATTTAGTGATAACATTTAGAACTGCCCAGACCTTGAGACCCTTGTCCTATTTAAACATAAGGGTCAGGACATTCTTATACTGCATTTTGATTTCTCTGGAGTTTCTGCTGCCTTCTTTCTTTCTTTTTAAAAAAAATATGTTTTTATTGATTTCAGGGAGGAAGGGAGAGGGAAAGAGAGATGGAAACATCAATGATGAGAGAGAATCACTGATTGGCTGTCTCCTGCACGCTCCCTTCTGGGAATGGAGCCTACAAGCCAGGCATGTGCCCTTGACTGGAATCGAACATGGGACCCTTCAGTCCTCAGGTCGACGCTCTACCCACTGAACCAAGCCAGCTAGGGCTGCTGCCTTTTTTCTTATTGACAAGAGTGATGTGCTTTCATCACAACCTCAGATTTACCTGGTCCCCAGTTGTGCTCTGTTATGTGGGATTCCTCACTTTTCCTGGAGCCATCCAGCTGGTTGATGACCTAGGCTTCATTGTGAGACCTTCTTTGCAATCCTGAGTTGGAGCCCTTATTTCTTGTACCTTGTGCTTCTAGGTCTTGGTTTTGTTTCTTCTTTTGTAACTGTCTCAGGAAGTGTGTGGGAGGTAACCCTCCTGAGTTGTTCTATGAGAAAAAAGTTCTCTCATTTCCTGAATTATCTGTTTCCCTCAGTTCAGTAGGTCCTAGGATTTTCTTATTCATGCTACTTACTGGGTTTTCTCATTTGTCTGGATGGTTCTTGGTTGCCCATTCATATTTAAGATGGAAGGGCTGACGATGATTATTTTAGGTAGCAAGGGTCTCCCCAACAGGTCCCATCAGCTCCCTACTCTTTGATGTGGAGCCTATACTGAACTTTAAAAGTGCCTGTGAATGTGGCTTGGCATGCATCAGACTGATAATTTTGTCTAACTGAGAATAATAGATTTATAACCTTTGTTTAATATATGGTGGTGCATTGTGAGGTAGAAATAAACTACCCACAAATCATTTTGCTTACTTAATCCTGAAATAGGAATTTAGATGTTAATAAAGTGATACCTTGAAAGTAAAGAAGGAATAATGACAAGTTATAAGTCAATTCAAATATTTGTTGGATTTTTGGTGTGTTTCATGTTTCTGGTGATGCAGAAAGTATCCTATATAATAAAAGCCTAATATGCTAAGTGCCCGGTTGTCCGGTCATCCGTTCAACCAATCAAAGTGTAATATGCTAATTATATGCTAAGGCTGCTCAACTGCTTGCTATGATGTGCACTGACCACCAGGGGGCAGAAGGTCCGACCAGTAGGTTATCTTGCTGATGGGGTCTGGCCGATCAAGACTGAGCAAGATGGGCTGGACATGCCCTGGAGCCCTTCCTGGCTGGCCAACCTCTTGTGTCCCTCCCTGGCCCGATAGTGCACTGGTGGGGTCCCTCGGCCTGGCCTGCTCCCTCTCGCAATCCGGGACGCCTTGGGGGATGTCAGAGAGCTGGTTTTGTCCTGATCCTGCAGGCCAGGCCGAGAGACCCCACTGGTGCACGAATTCGTGCACTGGGCCTCTAGTTTACAAATAAGACAGAGGTCCTGCCTTCAAAAAGCTAGCTGGAGAGACTTAATCTTTCACTTTTCTTTATGTCCTTTTTGTTTTAAGTTAAACTTTACTTGTTTTATTCTGATCTTCATTACATTTTGCAAAAACAATTTTTCGGATTGTGTAGTAGAAACTGAATATTTGAGCTGCACATTGATACATGGTTGGCAGTGTTCAAATGGCAAGTGCATTTATCCAAATTTGAGAATCAGTGCCAATAGTTTATTTAGGACTGGCTTCATAGATTTAAAAAAATTTTTTTTTAATTGATTTTTTAGAGCGAGGAAGGGAGAGGGATAGAGTGTTAAAAACATAGATGAGAGAGAAACATCGATCAGCTGCCTCCTGCACACTCCCTACTGGGGATGTGCCTGCAACCAAGGTACATGCTCTTGACCGGAATCGAACCTGGGACCCTTCAGTCCTTGGGCCGACGCTCTGTCCACTGAGCCAGACTGGTTAGGGCTGTAGATTTTAATTGTAATCAATATTTTTTTTGGCACTTTGGGGAAAGATCTTGTCTAGAGCATACAGGGGACATAGTGATTATTGCCTCACCCTTAGATGCTTCTCATGACCTGTAATTATATCTTCATCTGGCTTGTTAATATGTCCCTTTCCTCAAGGGTACTTAGGCAGTAACTCTCAGAAGTTATTGATACTATAAGGTAATGCCTTTAAGTGCTTTGGATTTTCTTTTGAAATACAAGTACCTCTTTCTGCCAGATTAGCCTCACCCTCATTCTTACCTTACTACAAATTAAATTACAGTTACAAATAAGATTATTCCTACATTTGGGAAAATAGAGTGGGAATTAGGAGCCTTGATGAAGGAATAGGATTATAAAATTAATTAGTATTATTTACTAATCAGAAACATACTTGAAAAAAACATAGTTTAGTCCAAACTCTCATTAGATGAAAAAAACTGTGACTTAAAAGACATTCAGCAGGTTTGAGATTTTAATGGTAGAATTGGAACCCTAGACTCCAGTCTCAACAGCACTCCCAAGTCTGGGGGGGATTTACATTTCAATTTCAATGTGTTATCATATTTTAAGGATATCTTCGAGAGTAGAATAATACAAACAAAAATGTGCCAGTGTAAGGGTAATCAGATTACAGGAGGGGTGCGTGTGGTGCACTAAATATTTGTCCAGTACTTAATGTTTGATACATAGTAGGTGCTTAGTAAACATTTGCAAGCATTCTGTACTTTCTATAAACATTTGCAAGCATTCTGTACTTTCATGTTATGCTTGATGCCATGAAGGGATGCAAAATACGGAAAGGATCCATCTCTTTTCAAAGAACTCTTAGGCTGATTGGTAATTTAAAATAATTGGAAGATTGACTAACAGATGTCAAAAGTAATAGATGGTGAAGTCAGGAGAGACTTGACTAAAACAGAAAAAATTGCAGTAGGCCACAAAGGAATGAAAGTAAGTGGATATAACTACATGCTAATTTTACTCACTGGAAACCATTTTGAAATTGAAGTTCTGTATTTGTTCTTGTCTGTGACTTTTTGCTAAACCTTCATGAATAGCATTCTACAACTCTAAGTTTTTATTAATTTGCTTTTAAAGCTGGTCTTGAATTCTTGCTGCCTGGTATGGATTAGGTTGAATCAATTTTGGTTTAATTTAGTAAGTACAGTATTAGAGTATCTGCTAATGTGTAAGCAGTGTGCCCGGGTAGAAAAAAGTCAGAATAATGCATAGCCTAATAAGGGGACATGGAAATGTAAGCTGTGTGGTAAATATACTCATGAAAGCTTGTGAGGGTATAGAGGTAGCCAAGAGTGTGGGAGATGTTAGTGCGATCTGGGTGAGGGTGAGATAGATAGGCTTTCTGGGAAAGATGACAGCTAGGTTTTTAAATTTTTTTTATTTCAGAGAGGAAAGGAGAGGGGAGAGAGAAACATCAGTGATGAGAGAGAATCATTGATTGGCTGCCTCCTGCACGCCCCCTACTGGGGATCAAACCCACAACCCAGGCATGTGCCCTTGACTGGAATTGAACCTGGGACCCTTTAGTCCACAGGCTGACACTCTATCCACTGAGCCAAACCAGCTAGGACTGACAGGTTTTAAAGTATAAATAGAAGCTCTCCAAATATACAAAGAAGGGAGAGCCATTCCAGGTAGAGAAAACATCCCGAACTGAAACAGAATGGTGTGTTAAGACAACTTTGAACAGTATTGCTGGATATAAAGTGGGATGCTTGGGGAGGGGATTATAGGAGGTAAGACTCTTACAGAACTTTGCTTCTTAAAGTTAGGCTTGGTATGGAGCTCACTGTCTTTGGTATTCCATTTGTCCTTGACAATCAATTGGGAGTTTTAGGTAGTCAGTCCAAATGCAAGGTTAATTAAATAGGCATTTTTTTCCTACCTGCTCTGAACGCCTTGGGAGAAGAACCAAATGAAAGAACATTAAAGTTGGAGGATTAGTGGATTTAATGGAAGAAGCTTTGTATTTAAAAGAGAATTAACAGGAAGGTTTTAGAAATGCAATAAAAGTAACTTATTGAAAACGTGGTATATGATCTCCTAGTACGATGACCTGGCTTAAGTGTCTCCAGCAGGTGTTTTGAAGCAGTTATACAGCAGAAAGGCATGCAGTAGAATTAGTTCTGACAATAAGCTTGTTACTGTCACCTGATTTCCAGAAGATCAGTTGGCTTTAAGCCAACTGCTGGAGCCCTGTGTGCAGGATGATTCTGTTGGGCCAATTCACCAGAACCTAGGGCTGCTGTGACCAGAAGTGCTTTATACCTAAGAACTTTGTTGATCTCCTATCCTATCGTCACCTCACCCACAATATTGGTGGTCCCCAATAGTGGGTAGTGAAGTGATTTATATGCCTGAGTTACAATAAAGAGTTAACCACTCTTAGAATCTTCCATGTTTAACTTCCTCCAAAATGCTGCAGATTTATAAGTGTGTTTTTAATATTTCACAGGCTTTCTTGATCATGGATGGTGAAGATATACCAGATTTTTCAAGTTTAAAGGAGGAAATTGCTTATTGGAAGGAACTGTCCTTAAAGTATAAACAAAGGTAATGTTGAAAAACATCCTAAAAATAGGGGAGGGCATTTGGAATGCACCATCTCTAGCATGTGCATTTTTTTTAAAACATAAAGCTAAAATGAAGAGTTTCAGATTTCGGATTGGAATTCTAGAGCTAGTCATAACATTGCTTGTATTTAAATAGTACAAAAATGCCATTAATCCTTATTATATTACTCAAGTTATTAAAATAGTAAGAAAATTTAGTGTCACTGATTTTTTTTTTTCTAGTAGCTTAAATCCTTTTATGCTTATTATTCTAATTGGCCATGTTTGGCCTGCTGCGGGTGCACTGCTGCCTCATCATTTCCGTCTTTTGGAGATTCTGATAGGCTGTCTGAGACTTCAGACAGCAGACCTGAGTTCTCCTCAGGCAAACACTATCAGTGTCTGCAGCCAGAAAAGCTTTGAGGGAGGGGAGAAGAGCTTCAGGTGTATGAAGCATTTTATAAAATCTCAATTATTTTAATTAGTTGGGAGAATTTTTACATGATCTTGTGAGCACCAAGACTTGGCTTAAATTTCTTTTTAAAATGGAATTTTTCTAAAATAAATATACATTTTCATACTTTGATTAACAGAGTTTTCTAAGTCTCATTAAACCTTTTATTGCTATTTCATTGCTATTGCTGAAGTTAGTTATATTGTGCCAGTGGATATAAAAGGTGGGTGTCTATGGCAGGGGTTCTTTTTTTCTTCTTTTTTAAAATGTATTTTTATTGATTTCAGAGAGGAAGGGAGAGGGGGAGAGATAGAAACATCATTGATGAGAGGGAATCATTGATTGGCTGCCTCTTGCATGCCCCCTACTGGGGACCAAGCCCACACTAATGTGCCCCGACTGGAAATCAAACTGTGACCTCCTGGTTCATAGATTGACGCTCAACCCCTGAGGCACATTAGCCAGGCTATGGCAGAGGTTCTTGTTTTTGTGTGCCATAGATTCCTTAATAGGCTGGGGAAACCTGCAGACCCCTTCTCGTATAATGTTTTTAAATGCATAAAATTAAATAATAGAATTACAAAGGAAACCAATTATATTGAAAAACTTATCTAATAATAAACTGATTTGCAATATAGTAATATGTGCTTATTTATTAATACACTAGAGGCCTGGTGCATGAAAATTCATGCACTTGGGGGGAGGGGGTGTCCCTCAGCCCGGTCTGTGCCCACTTGCAGTCCGGGAGCCCTTGGGAGATGTCCAACTGATGGCGGGGAGCTGGCCTAAGTCATAGTCGGACATCCTTAGCGCTGCCGTGGAGGCAGGAGAGGCTCCCGCCACTGCCGCTGCGCTCGCCAGCCATCAGCCTGGCTTGTGGCTGAGCAGTGCTCCCCTGTGGGAGCGCACTGACCACCAGGGGGCAGCTATGGCCCTGCCCCCCATCGCCCCGCCACCGCTGGTCACCGCCGCTCCCCAATCGCCATCCCCTCCCTCTGCCCACTAGCACCCGCTTTGGCTGGCCTGGCGCCGTCCGCTCGTCAGCCCCGCCCCCTGCCGACCAGTCGTTCCACCGTTTGGTCGATTTGCATATTAGGCTTTTATTATATAGGATTAAGTAAGGAAGAGCTAGCAGTGAGTGTATAAAATCTGAGTCCTTTTAGGGCCTATAACTCATTTTCATTGAGCCTTGAATATAGAGTAAGAGATGTGTAAAACATTGTCTTTATTATTTAGTATATTTTATTATAGCATGGCATTCAGGCATAAATTCTTGAATTGGTATGTAATTGTCTTTAAGATGATCCTTATGGTTCCTACTAACTACAACTTATCTTTCCCACTTTGTTTTTTATTAGCTTCCAGGAAGCTCGGGATGAGCTAGTTGAATTTCAGGAAGGAAGCAGAGAATTAGAAGCAGAGTTGGAGGCACAATTAGTACAGGCTGAACAAAGAAATAGAGACTTGCAAGCTGATAACCAAAGACTGAAATATGAAGTGGAAGCATTAAAGGTAATTGTGGCAGTAGGAGCCTGGTGTCTAATGTACTGGGCTTTATTAAAATGAAAAATGTACTTTTTTAAGAGGAGTTTAAGAGCAGCTGGCAACAAAATATATAAAAGGAGGCTTAAAGTGAATTTAAGTTTTCTTTCATGGAACTAAGGGAGAGGAGATTTAGAGTTTAGGAGCTCACTTAGAAAGTCTGTAGCCATCAGTGTTTTAGTGATCATGTTCCTAGATATAATTTTATAGTCCCTATAATTTTCAGAAGCTGCCTGATTGTTTTGATAAGGCACCTCATTTTGTGGCACTTAAAAATTATATTTGTATGAAATATACACATTTATTTCATTATTATTCATAGTCCCTTTAGTTTTAGAGTTTAGTTTGGATTTAAAAATTGCCTTCTAAAAAGGAATTTTCAGGAGTAAAAGGTTTAGCCGCTTTTGTTGCTCTTTAACCACCTGCCTTAGCCAGATGCTTAGAGACTTTCCGTGTCTGGGGAGTAGGTGGGTTTGGGAAGGTGGGGGTGGGCAGGTAAGGGGTAGGGAATTTGAACTCTGTCAGTCTACTTCTTTGTGCTCACCCTGAACTGCATGTAGCCTGAGAACTCAGAAGTTCCCCCACCGTGTTTAGGGTTTTCATTATTTTACTGTTTTCAGAGAGACCATTATTAGATTTCTGAGAGGACAATGGGTGACTATTTAAACCTTATATGAGTTAAGTCAGTTGGAATGAATGTGTGATTGTTTTTAAATATTGTAAAAAGGAGAAGGGGTGCCATAACTTGGATTGTGGGTGAATTCTTTGGATTTTCCCTCCTCTTTAACTTGGGTTGCATCTTTCATTAAAGAAAACTGCATATTAATGACACATACTTTTTTCCTATATCCATGCCTTTAGGAGAAACTAGAACATCAATATGCACAGAGCTACAAGCAGGTCTCAGTATTAGAAGATGATTTAAGTCAGACTCGAGCCATTAAGGAGCAGTTGCATAAGTATGTGAGAGAGCTGGAGCAGGCCAATGACGACCTAGAGCGAGCAAAAAGGTGAATGATGTGCATTTTGTTAGAATAACCAAAGTTGGCAATCAGTGATTAAAGTGTATGTCTTTAGGTTCAATCTATCACCTAGATCTTAGTCCCAGAACACTTCCTTTTGGTACTCATCGCATTGAAACTAACCAAAAATTCTTATCTTCCCAGAAAATTCCCTTCTAAACTTTTCTTTTTTCCTTCTTTCATGTGCTTTTGTTCCTGTGGCTTTTCATTAAAATATGTATCATTCATTCCTCTATCTTTCCCTCTCTTTCTCAATACCACCACACTTTTTGTAGGTCCTCACACCTTTTTTTTTAAAAAAAAAAAATCAGTTGTGTTTCTTTCTTTTTTAAAAAAAAACTCAGATGTATTTCTTTCTTTCTTTTTTTTTTTAAATTGATTTTAGAGAGGAAGGGAGAGGGAGAGAGAGATAGAAACATCAATGATGAGAGAGAATCATTGATTGGCTGCCTCCTCCACACCCCCTACTGGGGATCGAGCCCATAACCCGGGCATCTGCCCTTGGTCAGAATTGAATCCGGGACCCTTCAGTCTGCAGGCCGATACTCTATCCACTGAGCCAAACCAGCTAGGGTGGTCCTCACATCTTAAACCTGAATTCTGCAGTTATTTTCTAGCTAATCTATCTTTAAATTTTTACTCCTTTTTATTCTCTTCTGTTTTAATACCGACTGATGAGTTTTCTCAAAATATTGCTTTAATTATGATTTTGCTGAATAACCTATAGTGGCTTGCTATTACTATTGCCAGCTTTCATATATCTGTAAATTAGTTGTTTCTTAACCATTCAAAATTTAATTCCTCTTATTTTATTCCTATTACTTTATTATCTGGTATTTCTTTCCTTAATAGTTGAGTGACTTAAATGCCTGATATGATGCTAGAGTTGAGGATACAAAGATAAACTAGCTACTGCCCTTGGGTATAACAGGTGTGGACGTTTGATATGATAAATTCTCTAGTAGAAAGAGTGTACAAGTCGTTCCAGGGCATAGAGCAGGGAACAGCTGAAGTTACCCTGGGGGAGTTGGGGAAGCAGAACGTACAAGGAGAAATAGAAGTTAACCAGGTGAAGAGAGAGATGCAGAGTCAGAGAGGCAGGAAAGTGTGTGAGGTATTAATATTTCACTTTGAAATATATAGAGACATGGCTGAACAACATGAGGCTGGAAGGTGGTTGAGGCCAGGTTGTGAAGAACCTTGTGTGCAATGTTTGATGTCATTCTATAGGCAATGGGGGCCTCTTTAATAATTTTTAAAACAAAGGAGTACTATTTTAGACCATGATTTCAGCAGATAGTACTGAGGAATTGGAATAGAGAGGAGGAGATGTAAAGACCTCTCATCACTACCATTTAGGAGTAATCCAGGTATTGGATGGAGTATTGAATGGGGGCAGAAGATTGAAGGAGAGCAAATGGAATTGAGAGATATTTGGACAGTTGACAGGATATGATAAAATTGGACATTGCATTATGAGTTCTGATGAGGTTAGGGAATTTTATATCTAGCAGGTAAGCACATAGCAGGTAGTGGACACATAGTAGATACATGTTAATGTTTGTTGAATAAAGGAGTAAGATGAGAAATGCAGGAAGAAGAAAAGGATTGGTAGGAAGAATGTAAATGGAGTGGGACCTGGGACTTTGTGTCTTAAACAAATTTTTAGTTAATTCTTTCGTATTCTAAAACTACTGAAGTTTTCCTGAACTTGATTGTATTGTGTTGAAAAATCCAGTGGGGAGAACTTTAAGGAATTTAGATGGGAATTTAAGAGAAAAGAATATATTTAATGGCCTTAAATGATAGCAGAAACTCTAAATGCCACCAGAGATCAGAAGGAGTGAGATCATTGTCTTTCAACTGGGCCAGGCTTTCTAGGTCAGGAAATGATATGAGATAAACTGCAGTTTCCTTTTGTATTACCTATTTGCACATTATTTATTTAATTCATGGATTCTATTTTTTTTTTTTTTAGGGCAACAATAGTTTCACTGGAAGACTTTGAACAAAGGCTAAATCAGGCCATTGAACGGAATGCATTTTTAGAAAGTGAACTTGATGAAAAGGAATCTTTATTGGTCTCTGTTCAGAGGTTAAAGGATGAAGCAAGAGGTAAAATTTATAACTTAAATGAAATTCTGCTGTCCCTAAGCCAGAGTTCTAAGCTAGCTTCAGGATCAACTTGTTAAAGCTATAGATTTATATACTTTATCAGACACTATGCTAAGAACTTTTAATCTTAACTTACTTAATACCTACATCATCAACTCTAGGAGGCAGGTAGGTATTATCATCCCTATATTATAGGTCATAAAATTGAGGCACAGCGAGTTTGCATTTGTCCAGAGTCTTATAACTTGTCAGATGGGATTCAAACCATGGTCTGTTTTCCAAAGCCTTAATCACTACCACTGTGCATATACTGCTTGCTTAGTTTGGGTTTTTCCTTCTACCTAAATAATTTTGTTATGCATATAATAACATGTGTACATTGCTGTTTATATATTGCATGTCTAATGAATATATATATATACTTTAAAATTCTCCTTTCCTCTCCCCCTTTTTAAAATGCATTGTAGTCTGCGAAATATTACAAAGAAGAAAATAAAAATCAATGCCAATCCATTTATCTTGAGAGAACCCACTAGCAGTTTGGTGTGTTTCTTTCCAGTCTTTTCCATGAGTGTATATGTATATGTATATGTATATGTATATGTATATGTATACACACACATATATATTTATTTATATACATATATATATAAGAACCACACAATATATACATATGTATTTTTTTCTGTCCTCCCCTTTTTTCACTCCTTAATATAGTGAATATAATTCATGCCATTAAAACATCTTTTAAAACAGGTTTTAATAATGTATAATGTTTATTATATATATTTTATTTGATGGATTCTTCATTATTGGTGATTAATTTCTTGCTATAAATAGTGCTGTGAATAGGATTTTTGTTCTTAATATTTAGGAATATCTTTGATAATTTCTTTGGAATAGATTCTTAAAAGTGGCAAAGGATATAAATGTTTTAATGGTCATAAAGGACAATGCTAAATTACTTTTTAGATAATTGCTATGTTTACACCCCCTATGGCAGTGATTGAGAGTGTTCTTCTCACACTGTTAATTAGCATTGTGAATAGTAAAAATAGATGAAAAATTATTTAAAAATCCATTGCAAAGTTGAAAGCTGATATCTAATTTTTAAGCAACTTGTAATTCTTTTACTTAAAAAAAATACATTGTTATTGATTTCAGAGAGGAAGGGAGAGGGAGAGAGAGATAGAAACATCAATGATGAGAGAGAATCATTGATTGGCTGCCTTCTGCACGCCCCTTATTGGGGATTGAGCCTGTAACCATGGCATGTGCCCTTGACCGGAATCAAACCCAGGACCCTTCAGTCCACAGGTTGACACTCTATTCACTGAGCCAAACCATCTAGGCTTTGTAATTCTTTGATTACTACTTATGAAACATTTGATCTAATGTTTAAAACTAGTTTTACATGCTCTTTTTTCAAGAACTTCATCTGAAGAACTTCTCATAATTTATATAATTATAAAATATTAACTCTTATTTATTTGTTTACTAGAGGCCCGATGCACGAAATTCGTGCAGGAGTAGGCCTTCCTTCCCCCAGCTGCCGGCACTGGCTTCCCTCTGGTACCCAGGACCCAGGCTTCCCTTTGGCCCCAGCTTCATCTGGAATGACATCTGGTCTAATTAGCATATTACCCTTTTATTATTATAGATAATTGTGGTCAGAACACATAAAATTTACATATATATATATATATATATATATATATATATATATGTATGTATATATTTTTTTTTAGCTTCACCCGAGGACATGTTCATTGATTTTTAGAGAAAGGGACAGAAGGGGAGAGAGAGAGAGAAACATTGATGTGCTGCCTCCCGAACTCTCCCTGATAGGAATCCAACCTGGAATGTAGACATGTGCCTTGACTGGGAATCGAACCCTGGACTTTTTGGTGTACAGACAGATACTCCAATCAATTGATCCACAATGGCCAGGGCTAAAATTTACCATCTTAACCATTTTTAAGTATACAGTTCAGTAGTGTTAACTATATTCACATTGTTATGCAACAGATGGCTAGGATTTTTTCTATGTTGTAAAATTGAAACTATACTCATTGAACAACAACTCCCCATTTCCCCTTTTCCCCAGCCCCTGGCAATCACATTTCTCTTTCAGTTGCTAGTTATGAGTGTGACTACTTTAGATACTTCATATAAGTGAAATCACACAGTGTTTGCCTTTTGTGATTGCTTTATTTCACTTTGCATAATATTCTAAAGGTTCATCCATGTGATAAAATTTCTTCTTGTTATAAGGCTGAATAATATTCCCTTGTATATATACCACATTTTTTGATCCATTTATCTGTGGCTGGACACTTGGGTTGCTTCCACCTCTTGGCTATTGTGAATAATGCTGCATTGAACATGGATGTGCAAATGTGTCTTTGAGATCTTGGTTTGAATTCGTTTGGATATGTATCCAGAAGTGGGATGACTTTGTATCCTTTTTTTAACATAAGCAAGTATTTTGTAGGTCTGTTGCTAACTGGAAAAGAAGATATTAATTTTGAGTTGAAAATTCAACTTTGAATGCAAGAAAAAAATTGCAACTATTTTGACTACTTCCTTTCTAAAACAAAATATGTCATAGTGACAATGAACAATACCAGCCCATTTAAAATTATAAAAATGCACTTTATTGATGTTTGCAATGATCCCTAAACTACATCATCCTATATAATAAAGAGCTAATATGCTGATTAGACTGAACAGCCAAACGACCTTCTGGACATCCTTCCAGATGAAGCCGGGGCTGCAAGGGGCTGCGAGGGCTGAGGCCCTTGCATGATTTTCGTGCATCAGGCCTCTAGTTTCAAAATAAAAGAAAATGATAATTTTGTGTCATATATATATGTTTTTTTTAGTCCTCACCTGAGGACATGCTTAGAGAGGAAAGGAGAGAGAAAGAGAAAGAAACATTGATTGGTTGCCTGTTCTATTCCTTTTTTGTATATGGGCATAAATAACAGTTTTCTTAAGTTATAGCATTTTTCAATTCTAAAACACCATTTAACCCTGGCCAGATGGCTCATTTGGTTAGCGCAGTGGTCGGCAAACTCATTAGTCAACAGAGCCAAATATCAACAGTACTTTTTCAAAATAGACTCGCCCAGGCCGAAAACCGACTTCTGCGCATGGGCCATGAAATTTCAATCGCACTGTACGTGTGCACCCGCATGTGGTATTTTGTGGAAGAGCCACACTCAAGGGGCCAAAGAGCCGCATGTGGCTCGAGAGCCGCAGTTTGCCGACCACTGGGTTAGCATATTATCCCGATATGCCAAGGTTGTGGGTTTGATTCCCAGTCTAGGCACATACAAGAATTGATGTTTCTCTCCTTTCTTTCTTTCTCTTTCTCCCTCCCTCTCTCTCTCCCTTTCTCATTTCATCTCTCTTTCATTCTCAAATAAGGAAATTTATATTTGAGAAATAATAATTTAGGAAGAAAGTCTTTATTTTATTTTAGATGACTTTGCTTTACGTATTTGCTTTTTCTAGTGAGTATTACTACCTTTGCTACGTTTTACAGATTTAAGACAAGAACTAGCAGTTCGGGAAAGACAACAGGAAGTAACCAGAAAGTCGGCTCCCAGTTCTCCAACTCTAGATTGTGAAAAGATGGACTCTGCTGTCCAGGCGTCACTTTCTCTGCCAGCAACTCCTGTTGGCAAAGGAACAGAGAACAGTTTTCCTTCACCAAAAGGTTTGTAATGTCTTTTCTTTTGTTTCTTGCTATTCTTTCTTTTGTTGTTACTCTTCACCTGAGGATATTTTTTCCATTAATTTTTTAGAGAGAGTGGAAGGGAAGGGGGAGGGAGGGTGGGAGATGAGAAACATCGTTTGGTTGCCTCTCATTGGTTGCCTCCCGCTAGGCTCAACTTGGGGCCAGGGATTGAACCTGCAACTTAGGTATATCTCCTTGACCGGGAATCGAACCTGCAACCCTTAGATGTGAGTACGATGCTCATACCATTGAGCCACATGGGCTAGGTCTGCTTTTTGAAACTATGGTAGATTATCAACTTAGAGGATTTGCTGATGAAGCAGTAGTTGCTAAAGTTTAAGCAAAATTTCAGTTTAAAAGTTGTTTAAATCTGTGTGAAGAAGAAGGAATTATTTTCCTAAGCCACTCAGCCATAGGAAACAATGAGAATGCTGGCTAGGTTTAAGACAAAAGCCACTTAATAAATTGAGATTTTGAAAAGTTGGAAAGTTTTTAAAGGAAGTTTATTTTTTTATTGTAGCAGTAATATTTGTTCATGCAGAAGATTTTAAAAACAGAAAAGAAAAAAGAAAAACCATCTGTAATCTTACCGTTTAAAATTAACTACTCTTAACACTTTCGATTTTTTCTTATTTTGTGTATGCTTATTTGTGTTTGTGCCTACCTCATTACACACATTTTTGGGGGATCATATTTAAGTCTAGTTTTATTTCTTGCTTTTGCCACTTAACATATCATGGGTAGACTAGAAGCCTTTATGCTAACATTTGAGAATTGTACATGGGATATATAGAGACTCGAGTACCATTGGCTTGGATAGGCACGTCCAGTCTATTACATGCCTCTGTAGCTGCATGCTGAATGTCATAAGTGACATTCAGAGGAACTGTTGAGTAGTGCATAGAGAATATTCCTCTTGCCATCAGCCAATGTGTTTTTTAATCCTGATAAGTAGAAAAGCCATTTAGTAGCCACTAGAATAGAACCCTGATGCTCTCAGTTCAGATTTAGTTTTTTGCAGCTTGCAGATCATATTTCAGCTACTCCTACTCCCCTATGGAAGGATCTTCCTACCCCTTTTTAAAATATAGGATTATATCTTTCATAGTGATATAAGATTTTCTGTCTGGGCAATTAGTGTAGTAAGCTCTCTATATCTGTGCTGTCCAATACAGTAGCCACTAGCCACATGCGACTAAATTTAAGCTTTTACTAATTTAATGTGAATTAAAATTTAAAAATCAGTTTTTGGTTGCATAAGTCACATTCCAAGTGCTCAGTAGCCCTTGAATAGATAATTCACCTGTTCTTGAGTTGAAATTAGATAAGGTATGTGAAAATGCTGAATAGTCAAAAGGTGTTACTAATTGTACTAGTATGTGTTGAGTGTCTTGCTGAGGGCATAGACCCAGTAGTATATAGGTTGTAGCAGTCCTCAAAAGCTTTCACTGTTCATTTTTCAGAATGGTGCTTGTGTATTTGAGGCCCTCAGAATTACTGACATTTGAAAATTAACAAAGGTTTGCTTTTACTCATTAGAATTATGCAGATGAATTCTGAAAACTTTTTATTTGAGTACTAATCAGAATAATCAGGAGCTGAAATCAAGGTAACACCCAGAGGGAGGTGTACATTCTTTTACAGCTCATTAGATTTTTCATGTGAGAACTTGGGGTGGGGGAGTGACAGTAGGACATGGAGCTTACTCTGGCACAGAATTTAGATAGGTCAACCCAAAGGCTGTAATCTTGTCCAAATAGACACACTTTTAGACTGGAACTGACAGTGTAAACTCACCTAAAAGCTGCTGTATATACTGGATCATGGCAGTTTTGTGACAAGGAGATCAGCGCAGACATACTAGTAGAAGCAGGAGGTTAGATAAATCAGTGACAAGGTTGAAGAACATCTCTGTGAAATGGTCTTTTTAAAAAAAATATTTTTATTGATTTCAGAGAGGAAGGGAAAGAGAGATAGAAACATCAGTTATGAGAGAGAACCATTGATCGGCTGCCTCCTGCACGCCCCTACTGGGGATTGAGCCCACAGCCCGGGCATATGCCTTTGACCGGATTCAAACCCAGGACTCTTCAGTCTGCAGGTCTATGCTCTATTCACTGAGCCAAACCAGCTAGGGCTGAAATGGTCTGTTTTTAATTGCATTGTATTGATACAATGCCCATTTCCAAAAAGCACTTAATACAGTTTATCATTAAAGCACAGATATAATACCTAAAGTACAAAATTTGAGGAGAATAGGGAAAGCTGAGATTCAGAAATCCCTGCCAAGGAAAGTCTAGTAGTTTATTTATATCAATTGAGCACCTATTATGTGCCACACATTCTAGATTCTGGGAGTATAGTGGTGAATAAGACAAGTCCCTACTGTCAGTGAGATTACATTCTAAAGGACAGAATGGTAAACAACAGCAGCAGCTGCAAAAGCATTTTACATGCTGATCAGCACTCTAGAAAACAAAAAATAATAGTTAACGTTTATTAAATACTGTGCTAGGCATTTTAAAAGCATGTTAACTAGTTTAAACTTCACAACAACTTTATGAGGTAAGTTAATTATTAGCTTCTTTTGCATATGGGTAACTTACTCAAGGTCACACAGGTATCAAATGACGAGATGGATTTGTATCTAGCAGTTCCACTCAGGAGCTCTTAACCAATTTGCTATTTATGTCAAAAATAAATTGGAGAAAGGTGCACAATTGGAAATCTTTGCTGAAGGGCATGGAAGAAGAGCATGAATAGCATGCTCAATACTATGATTCTGAATGGAAAGACTTAATTTTGTTGTAATATCTATTCTCCCCAAATCAATCAATAATTTAAATTTTTAATAAGAGTCTTAGGATTTTTTTTTAAGTTGTCAAGTTGATTTTAAAGTTACTCTTGAAGAGTAAATGTGTAAGAATAGCCAAGAGCCCAGCCGGCGTGGCTCAATAGTTGAGCCTGGACCTATGAGTCTGGAGGTCATGGTTTGATTCCTGGTGGGGCATATGCCTGGGTTGCGGGCTCAGTCCCCAGTGTGGGGCCTGCAGGAGGCAGCTGATCGATGATTCTCTCTCATCATTGATGTTTCTATCACTCTCTTCCTCTCACTTCTTTGAAATCAATAAAAATATATATTTTTAAAAAAGAATAGCCAAGAAAAGTTTGAAATAGTTTACTAACAAGAAGAGGCTTTGCCCTTCAAGATACCAAAATTTATTTTAATACTATAATAACTGAAGCAGCATCTTTCTGGCAGAGTGGACTAATAATTTAATGGAGCTTGAAATATATAGGGAATTCAGTATATGGTTTTAGTACTATTTCAAGTGCTAAAACTATTTTAGTCCTTTTTCACTAATTGGCTATCCATTTGGAGGGGAAATATGTAAATATTTGATGTGATCTAAGGGCAAAAAAATTTTTAGGAAAGCAATTAGGAGAAAATATGGGGAACATTTTTTATAATATTGAGGTGAGGGAGCCAAAGGCTTCCTCCCCAGAACACAAAGCTTAAAAGATAAATGTCAGCCCTGGCAGGTTGGCTCAGTGGATAGAGTGTTGGACTGAAGACTGAAGGGTCCCAGGTTCGATACTGGTCAGGGGCACGTGCCTGAGTTGTGGGCTCGATCCCCAGTGTGGGGCGTGCAGGAGGCAGCTGATCGATGATTCTCTCTCATCATTGATGTTTCTATCTCTCTCTCCTTCTCCCTTCCTCTCTGAAATCAATAAAAATATATTTAAAAAAAAAAAAGATAAATGTCACTCTGAGAAATACAACATAAAAGAGAAAGGGTGAATATAATTATTGTTCCCTTGCAAATTGGTTAAAGGAAAGACAACCTAGTAGGAAAAAAATGCAAAGGATAGGCAGATAATTTCCGGAAGAGATTCAAATGATTAGTTATTAAGGAAATAAAAATTAAAACAAAATGACTATCAAATTGGCATAAAAAGATGTCTAATATTATTGACGACACCACTGTACACATTGCTGATGTTGACATAATCTTCTTGGTGAGCATTTTGGCAGTCAGTACCTGTTAAGGTGAAAGAAATGGGCATAGCATATCCTCTGACCCAGAAGTTCTATTTTTAGGAATCTCCTCTTCTTCAGAAATACTCATCTGGATGTTTTAAGGCTATATGTCCTTTTAGCATTATTTGTAATGATGTAAAATTGGATGTAATCTAAATACTCATCAATTATAGAACTGTTAAACATGTTTATGGAATCTCCACTTTATCTGTAGTTTGGAATACTATATTGATTTTTTTACATTGAATGTATACTATTTTGCAATAACAACAAAACCCAAATTGCATGTATAATCACTTGTCTTTTATTTTTCTGTAGCTATACCAAACGGTTTTGGTACCAGTCCACTGACTCCTTCAGCTAGGATATCAGCACTAAACATTGTGGGGGATCTCTTACGGAAAGTAGGGGTAAGCATTCAATTATTTATCACTAGGTGTTTCAGTTGCAAAGGTATTGAATTATTTCTGAATTTGAAGTCAGGGAAGAAAAAAGAATACCTTCCTGTGGTAATTAAACTGAGAAGCAAAAGCATCCGGTGGTCAGCTGAGGCTGGTCCAGATAATCACCTCCAGGGCTTGGGCTTGCTGGTGTCTCTGCAGAAGGCCTAGCGTGCTGACCTCCTGAGTCTCCACTGAGAATTCTGCATGTCCCCCATGCCTGTTTCTAAAGGACAATGAGTCCTCCATTTTTTCCTAAAATACTTCCTGCTGTATGTCCTTTTTTGAAAAATTAAGCTTTTTAAAAATTGATTTTTAAAGAGGTAGGAAGGGGAAACATCAGTGTGAGAGCGAAACATTGATCGGCTGCCTCCTGCATGTCCCACACTGGGGCATGTGCCCTGACTGGGACTTGAACTGTGACCTCCTGGTTCATAGGTTGATGCTCAACCACTGAGCCATACAGGCCAGGCGCTTATTCAGTTTTTTTACTCTGTATAATACTCTTGGACCTTATCAAGAGAGTAGTTGTTTTTTGTTTTTTGTTTTTTTTTTTTTTTTAGCACTCTCTTGCTTTAACTTTGTTCCTATTCATATGTGATCCCACAGATGGCTTACTCTGTTACTGTTGAGCATGGTGTTTTTGGCCATGGAGGAGACCTGCAGTCTGGATCAATTAAGAAATGTGACTTCTCCTTTCCTTCCTTCAGATCACTGGAAACAATAATATGATTGTGTGGATTTAAGCTTTTCTTATTCCCTCAGTGACTTGAACCTCTCTTTTCAGTAATCTACCCCTGAAACTTCCCACTATCCACCATGCCTTTACTTATTTTTTTTGTATAAGACACTTTCTGAAAAAAGTAGAAGTTGCATTATACTTTCTTTGAAGAAGAAATGGGAGGCCAAGATACAGGGTCCTATGTTTACCTTTTCTAGCTTATGGAATTATTTTAACCATCAGATTCACTCTAAACTGCAATTTAAAGTTGCTATAAATAGTAATGTGCTTAAGTCATTCATACAGTACATAGTTTTTCCTTACTTTTAAAATAACCATTTTTATCCAATTTGTTGTAAGAGTTATGGTATTTACCTCTGTAACTTGATAAAATAATGTTTTATTTTTCTGTATCTTGACTAACCAATTTTAAGCAAAAAGATGAGGACTTTAACTCACATTCTCGCAATTTTTATTTTTTGTTGTTAGTGTTTTTTGTAATTTTAAATATAAAACCTCTATTTCTGAATTTATTAGATTATATTGCAACTCCTTATTGTGTGTGTGTGTGTGTGTCTGTGTCTCTTTGTACCTCCTTTTACTCTCCATTGGTTAGTTCTGAAGATTGAAAATTAGTCAATAGTATCTATAGTATCATGCTCATGTGTGCTACTGTATAATCATAGAGGACAGCTGGCTCTTGGGTCATTTTATTCATATTGTTCAACAGATGGTTCAAGCATTTTGTTCTTTATCACTTACTCAGAATCATATCAGATTTTTTTGTATTGTGTGAGAGCTGACCTGTATGCCTTTTTTTTTTCCTAGTCTTCCTAATTACCCTTTATTTTTGTAGATAGAAAAAAATGCACTCTTTGCAATATCTCATACCTTCCAGCTTCTTACCCTCACTCTTTGCTGAAAGCTCTGATACGCTTATAGGGCTGCTGCACCACCGTCGTCCTTGAATTTCTCTTCATTATATGCTATTGGATCAGCACTGTCTATTTCTGGACCCCAAGTTGTCATCTTTGTTTGTTCTTGTTTATTTTGTTTTAGTACCATAAATAAATTATTCAGAAATGGTGCATTAAAGTTGAACTTGGAGTCCTTGCCTGGTTTTCCTGTTTACCTGTCTCCCAAGATGTCATAAAACTTTGGTCTGCTTATCCGCCAGCTCCTGGGATGCTTCTATGAATATTCCTTTGTCCACTGACTAGAACTGCTCGGAAGCTGCATCCCCATGCTTGCATCCTCTTCCACTGAGAAATCAAGGCCATCTGACTTGAAGTTTTGTTTTCTCCTCTTCTTTTATTATTCTGTTACCTCTGTTTGTAGCTCTTCTTCCTTTTCATTTCAGTGGTAAAAGTATCATATTCGTGCTCCTGGCTAATTTTGTCCCTCTGTGCTTTGGATCCCATTCCTTCTAGCCTTGTCATCTTTATGTCTCCTGTATCTTCAGCTTTTTACTCTATATATGTTAATATGTATGTGTAATATTAGATATTATATACATACTTTTTTAAATCTTAGAAAGCAAAAATAAAAGCAACTATTCTTTCTTTTACCCTATCTCTCTCTTTAGCTAGTATTCTAATTCTTCCTTTTACAGCCAAGCTTTTTGAAAGCATGTCTCCATTTATTGTTAGCATTTTTTATTTGTTTTGTTTTTTGTTAATCCTCACCCAAGGATATTTTTTTCCATTGATTTTTAGAGAGAGTGGAAGGGAGGGGGAGACACACACAGAGAGAGAAACAATACGAGAGAGACACATTGATTGGTTGCCTCCGGCACGCCGACCCTGGGTGGGGATTGAGCTTGCAACCGAGGTATGTGCCCTTGACTGGAATCGAACCCGCGGCCCTTTAGTCCGAGGGCCAGTGCTCTAATCATGAGCAAAATTGGCTGGGACTATTGTTAGCGTTTTTGACTGTATATTAGTACACACTTCCCCAGACGTCCTTGTTTCGGCTCTGTCCCTGCTCACTCCACTATAATTGCTCCTTGACGATCTCAGTGCTGTCAGCTAGAATGGATGCTGTTTTGTCCTGATTTTACTTGAAACATTCAAAACCACTTTTTTTTGGAATGCCTTCTTTCCTCTGCTTCTCTGATGCAGTGTCATGTCTGCTTCCTGTCTTCCTGCCCATTCCTCTTTGTCATTTGTTAGGTCTTAATCCGCCCACCCTTTCATTGTTGATTTTATTCAGAGCTCTGTCCTTAATTTCCTCATCTTATTCACAACTATGATTTTGTCTACTTCTTGGTGTATATATCTTCTAAATCTTGGTATCTAAACCACTTTATTCACTTGAGTGCCAGACCCCAGTACTTGCACTTGGATGTCTCCCTGACATCTCAGATACAACTTGTGCCAGCTGTATGATAGGTGCTTAGCACATACCAGTATTTGAAGGAATGAATGAGTGTCTTGAACATAGGAGCTTAGTGACTCTCAGTTTTTACTGTGTATGTGTACATTTAACAAGTTGCTGAAATAATGCTTATGTAAAGCTTATCCTACAAGGTCACTACCTCTCTTCTGTTCGTTCTTATTTTATAGGTCATTGTACTTTTGTTATAGGAAAGGAGGATAGAAGACATTTGTTTTCATTTCTGTTTCTTAACAGCTTGTATTGAATTATGGGGGGAGGATTTTGAAAGTGCATATGTTATCTGTGGATTTAATTTACTTATGCATTCCTAATTCCTTAGTATCATGGATAATAGGAATGGACTGTTTTTGCCCTCCTCCTTTTTTTTTTTTGTCACGGAGAGGGGTTTGAGTTGGTCAGAGTGTCCGTGGGGAAGGGGGAGTTGGTGATACCTGTGTGTGATGGAAATAGATGAGGAAGTCCTGTTCTCTTCATGTCGTCTGTTTGTAGAGCCTGGCAAGTGCCAGGTGCCAAGAAAGGCACCCGATTTAGAGGTAAATGCTCTAAAGGTCTGGTGTCATTTTCCAGTGAATTATTTAATTATGGAAAAAGGGTATCAGACATTTACACTGTGTTCTAAGAAGTAGGAATAGTCTTTAACGTCATGTGAAGTGTTGTAAATGCTCTTATCCATTTTAATGCATTAGAAATAACTAAACTGAAATGCTGTAGAAATAATTGGCTGCTTTAAAAAATTCTCATGATATTTTTGCATTCTTTACGCATTTGCTCCCAAAACAGCCCTCCTCCATACTCATCCACCTCTAACTAGCCAACTAACAAAACTCAGAAAGACATAATGGATGGGGTCAAGAGACCTGGGGTCTGTCTTGGTCTGCTTGTGCCACATTTTTCTTATGTGAGTGAGGATATTTGTATCCCTCGGAACAGTGAGAGGAATAAGTAAAATGTTCTGAGCTCATTAGAAAGGGAGCATGAACATTTCCTTTGTCTGCCAGAAAGGTGATTGATTCTAGCTTAAGTAGCCACCAGTATCAACGGAGAGAGTAAAGTTTGAGTCTCAAAATAGAAATGGTTTGAAATGCAGATTTTTATGTGCAGCTACTGTTTTGACAACCAAATCATTCCTTCTTTCTTTTGTAGGCTTTAGAATCCAAATTAGCAGCTTGCAGGAATTTTGCAAAGGACCAAGCATCACGAAAATCCTATATTTCAGGGAATGTTAACTGCGGGGTGATGAACAGCAACGGCACAAAGTTCTCTAGATCAGGGCATACGTCTTTCTTCGACAAAGGGTAAGTTTGGGAAGTTTTAAATAATTTCAGGTATTAAAGTTACACGTTATTAAGTGAGCTTACTGAAGCTTTGAAAAGATAAACTCAGTTTGAAAAATCTACCTGAAGCCTGTTACCATTCAGATCTCACAGGACATGAAATCTGTTGCTGTCTTCTGTCCCCATGGAGTCTGTTGCCCTGGGAACCCTGACTCTGAGCATCTGTCCTGGAAGCAGACTCTTGGAAGGCAGCAGTGCTAGCTCTGCCCGTGATATAGTCCTTGTTCTCAAGGCACTTACAGGCTCATAGACTTTTCTGGCAAGTATAGAATGGGGCAAAGTAGGTTTACAGTTGTTTGTATGGACAATAATAATAATACAAGAACAAACTGTTTGGCATATTCACAACTGTAAACCTATTTTTGCCCCCCCCCCCCCCCCACCCCACCCCAGTGTTTGTTAAGGGTAGAAGAGAACACTAGTTATGTATACATGCAAACTCTGTAACGAACGTTCTGCCTGAAGATTTTAGAAAAATATAAAACCACTGGATCAAATATAGTTTAGGAGATACAAATTTTGTATGATGTGAAGATGGTTTTTAGGGAATTGAGAAATTTAAAAAATTGTGTTAGGATTGAAGCCATGATACATCCTTTTTTTTAATTTCAGAGAGGAAGGGAGAGGGAAGGAGAGAGAGAAACATCAATGATGAGAGAGAATCATTGATTGGCTGCCTCCTGCACGCCCCCCACAGGGAATCAAGCCTGCAACTGGGCATGTGCCCTTGATTGGAATCAAACCCAGGACCCTTTAATACGCAGGCGATGCTCTATCCACTGAGCCAAACCAGCTAGGGTGTGATATATCTTTAATGCAAAAAAATTTCAATTGGTGCAGAAGTACATAAAATAAAAAGTAAATGTTTTTTGTTTTCACACTATTTTTACATTTTTATAGTTATTTTTAGTTATGTACAATTATATGTATCTTCTATAAGCTTTTAAGATTTATGAGATTATACTTCAGATATTCTTTAACATGCCTATATGATTTATATTGCCAGTATCTTTTCATGTCAGTACATACTACTCTACCTCAATTTAAAAAACTAAAACATTGCATGGTTATACTCTTTTATGGGTGTGCCTTAATTTAGGGAACTAGTTAAATAGTTAAGACCTGTGGTCTGGGGATGCTGACCACGTTACCCAAGGTAGCTGTTATTAGAACAATGACTGAGGCAGCGCCATCCCTTGGCACTGTCTCTGCTTTGAGTCGTAGAGGCTGCTCATTCTTGTCCTGTGAAAGCAACACAGATACAACTCTAGAAATTTTCCCAATTTCTTAAAGGAGCTTGTATGTTCTGCTTTCCTATGTAACTGTGGCATTTTTCCGGAGGGCCTGAGAGATTCTACCTTCATGTATACATATTTCTTTAAGGAGAGCATTCTAAAATACCAATATATAAATCAGAACTTTATTTTAACCATTGGGATTTCTCAGGGGGAGTAAGTATAAAATCAATTTTCCTCAGGTTTAGGAGTTTCAGGCAACCTTGAGGAATGCTCATTTTTATACAATAATGATAAGTGGAATAAATAGGTATTTGACATTAAATTGCCATTTGCCCCAAACAATACAGGGATAGTTTAGGGGTGCCTAATTATTTTTTTCTGTAACCTGTAATTACCTCCAGTAGAGTAGTTATTAGTCTCTACCTGGAATCATGTTTCTTTCTTTGGGCACCTTATGATGTGAGAATAGGCATGGACCAGAAACAGGTTGGTTGGACAAATAGCTTTGCATGTAGAAAGTCCTTAGAACAGTCATGACGGAGGAGGAATAACAGTCAGTTCAGGCTCACTGCTCCGGTCTTCGTTAGAGACTGGCTTCCATTTGACCCCTGATGCAGAGCACAGTGATGCCCAGAGGTGAACCCATTCTTAGGTAGATGCAGAGGCTTCAGGTGACCTGGAACCAGGCGTGGGCCTTGGGCACTGTGTGGAGCCCCGCCTCCCACCCTCTGAGAAGCATCCTGGATGCAGTGCAGGCTTTACTCCTGCACTGCACCTGGAAATGTACCGCTCGATAGAAAGTTGCAGATGATATTTAATTTTGGTTTAAATAGTACACATTTTTAACTATTGTTTCTATTAAGAATTCAGTATGCTTTTGTGGGTTGGTCTTTCCTCAGGTGTTTAGTTTATATGACAAATAGGTTGCTTATACACACTCAAATATTAACCTATTGCTTGAGTTGCATTTGTCTAGTTGCCATATTCCTATAGCTCTCTTTTGTGGGGTTTTGCTGTGTTCTTACTTCCTTGCTGCTTTACTTTGATTCTGGCTTCCTTCTGACCCACCTGGCTTTTTACCTCTGGCCTTTCTTCCTGCAGACCTATCCTATGTAATAAACAAGGTGGCTGCCTATGACCAGGCTGGCAGGGGGTTAGTGAGGGACGACCAAATGACTGAACAGCAGGCTGCATGGGGCGACCAGGCCGGCAGGGGGGGG